CCTAGAGCGTATAAATACCTCTCAGGTGCTTTATATCCCGTCAACGAGATAAACGGCAAAAAGAGTTCCGTTGGGTAGTGGTTTAAAAATGTGGCCAACAAGAAGCAGACTAATATCGTGGTCACTGCTATCATCCCCGCATAGAACATTAATTGAGGGAGTCTTTTTAGTGTTTTAAGGGACATTTTTACTTTTAGTTCTTTTTAGTTTCATTTCGCTTTTTCTTATTTGAAAATTCCAATGTTTTGAAAAGATGGTATTGTACTTTATTTTTATGATTAAATAAAGTAAATTTGATTAACGCACACAATATCAATTAATTTAGTAACTTATCGCAATACTCGGTAATCTCCCCAGCTTCACTCCCATATACTTTTCTGACTTGTTGCACTATGTTCTTCATTTTTTCAGTCATCGTTGTTTTGCAGAATAACACCAATAACACAAGAACAAGAAAATCATACTTCTCAATATCTTCATCATTCGAAGTAATTTTCGTTTGATTGTCACATATCCATGGAAGTACATCGCTGATAGCCAACTTGACTATCTCTCCACAAACGTCACTTGTATAGTCAACTTCAGAAATGATGTAAACAAGAGAATAAACAGTCTCAACATTATCTGGTGTTAATAAAGAGAACTTCTTCATTAAATCTAACGCTATTTTACCTAATATGGGTATCTCACTCTTCTCTATAAGTCCCAACTCACAGAGCCCAAAAAGAGCTTTAGAGGCACCATGCTCAAAACAAGAGTCATTGAAATCTCTCATCAATTGCACAAGTCGGTGTACATAATGCGACTTGTTGTCCTCTGCTTTAAGGGTGTCAAACTTCATACACTTTGCGATGTCAACAAAAAGCGTACAAATGTCTGGCGTCTTCCCACAGAAACACTTCACCGCACGAACTAAATAGAAGAACCCCTTTTCGCAATTTGTCATCGCTGTTTTAACGTCGTTTTTGCCCATCATCTGTTCATATGCAAACATCTTCTGAATCAGAACTAAACCCCAGTAAAGTGCTGTTTCTCTATCATTCTTGATTTCTGTTTTGACTACAGGAGGCTTGTCGTCAGACTCTTCGTCTATAATGGTACACCTTCCTATGGTTGCAATAACGTTCTCCACTGAAATTCGTTTGATATGAGTGTAGAGCAACTCACTCTTGC